TAGATACTTCTGAAGAATATCTAAGCCATGATGGCAGCAAAGATGATATTATACTTTTTGTATTAACATACATGTTTCCATGCTAATACATAAAAAAACACATCCATTCACTACGAATTTGGTTACCAGTGCGATAAGGGCTGACTGCTGCACCCAAACCAGTAACAAAACACCATCACATCAGTTTCTGTTGTGAATTATCATATTTTAAATATTTCAGTACAGACATGAACATCGTATTCCACAGAAGAAGCAGAGCAGAGAATAATAAGTGTTTTTTGTCTTCCTACTGTCATCACTATTAAAGAGAAACATATTGATCTGTTAAAAATTACACTGCCTTTTATAAAATTTTGACGCCAAGGCACACACTGTCTGTATCACATTTCTGAATATTATGACTATGATAATGTGCCTCAGGAGGTATCGCAAGGTATTGATCCCCGGCTCCTCCAGTCTGAACCCCACATTGCTGTGAATGTTTTAGTTTCTGTTTATGATGAGCAGTTGGCAGCCACTGCCATCAGTGTCTAAATATGAGAATGAGGTGAACGTTGACTTATGGTGTAAAGCGCTTTGCGTGGTTGAAAATGCATTGTACAAGTACAGTCCATTAATACAACACACACTTGATGATATAAAATACTAACCTATCTAAATTTAAGATGACTGTAACATGACAAAAGCTTTTCCACAGCTGTTTAATTATATGACTGGACCAAATAAGATGAATTTGCAAACTATCTGCTGACCACTTTGTGTTGGTCAAAAGGGCGTTTTCGGCCTAAAACTCTGCTCACTCACTTAACATTCGCTGTCATTAAAATCATGAGCGCTCACCAGCAACCACACAATGTGACTAAGAGACCTCATAGTCTGACAACTATACTACATTAACTATAGCCGACTGATACACAACAAAAACACAGCTGGAGTTACTATGCACACACAGAAGGAGTTGATGCCCTAGTGATTAGGGGAGGGATCCAATGCAATCAAACACACTGGGATAGAGAGAAAAAAACATGCTATATAATACTATTCATTCATATTCATTGTAACCACACTTTCAAAAAACCCACATTTGAGAGAACAGCATATGTAATTCTGGTCTGTGAAACACACACAAACACTTACACACCCATGTCACTAAACACCCAACACCAGCATATTCTCATGACAGAATCCCTCTCTTCTGGCTTCAAACTGTGGGTGGTGCAGGCATTACCACACAGTGGTACAGTAGGAGGGGTGGGGTGCACTGTATATTAATCCTACGTACCAAACAGATGTTTTTAATGACAGAAAGACTATTTCAGCTGAAGCCTGAGAAAAGGGGAGAAAATGAAGAATGCAAAAGGAGCGACACTCTGCGACACAATATGAGCAGTATCCAAGGAAAATCCTCTTCAAATACTGTTTTTGATTCCATTCAATCCAGATCATTAAAGTAGGGTTTGGAGATACCTCACTTTTTTCCTATCATCAAAAATCATCAAAAAAGGAGCCAGAGGCAAAGAAAACAAGGCCTTTCTCATCAAGACTTTCTCCATGACTCACCATGTGGCCATATGATGAGTGATACAGTGCTTCCACAAACAGTGATCCTGCGGATTTTTCTATGCCTTATCATTCAGTCAGTGCAGTATAATGTGCACCTGTCCCTGCACTGCCTTATAAACACAGCAAGAGTAAAAACTTTAAACACAAATTGCTGGTCCCGGTCCACTGATGCGTGCTTCATCACTACACATGCATGTCTAACACCCAGAATCCACAGATGACCACCTCGGTCCAAGATATTTTTCCCTGTAGAAAAATAGCCTTCCTTGCCAGTATACAGTAGTCTTTACTGTATATGTAGTAAGCCTTTTTGCATGTGTTAATATCTCCAAATGAAAGGGCAAGCCTTGTTCCTATTCTAGAGCTGGCATAGTTCTAGCTCCCCCAGCTCTGTAATTAGGATCTGAAGGGGGGCTGACTCTCCTCTGTGGCAGTATGTGTGCCTGGTGCCAGGCCGGACACACTGTATCCACCACACTGTATCCACCCTCACGGGCTAAAGCAAGGGACTTGCTTAGTCGAGGAAGCTACTACTAAGGTGACGGAACAGGAATGCAAGGGCTGCTTTTTCCTCAGAATATCAATCACTTATTGGGAAAGCATGGCGTCATGTTTTGAGGTCACCGATTCAAGCCCTGACTGATCCTTTATGAGCGAGTGCACACTGGGGAGAGGTGATTAATTCCCTCTTCCTTGTAAGACGTGACAGATGATCGATCTGACATAGCCAGAAAAACAAGAGACAACAGCAAACCTGGAAATCTAGGCCATGATTTAATATCACGGGAAAAAAATGTTTCACTGGTGTTGAAACACAGATCTGACGATCTTGTTTGTGTACATTAGGGACTGCCCTGGAATGAGCACGCAAACAAGCAGGTTCCTGTATTGCTGTCCAAATGGTTTCAGTTAGAAACTGGTGCAAGCTACTGTCGAGAAGAAAGCTAAGCGCAAAACAAAAGCATATTTACTTTTATGACCACCTTTAGGATTTACGGGCTCTGATGTGGAATGAATGACTGGCTCTGAAAGAGATTTATTATCAGTGCAGTCTAACTTTAATATATGCCACAGCTGTGAGGGTAAGGAAACAGCTATTTTTCAAGCCATACAGATATGGTGTTTAGTTTACCAACATATTTATACACTGCATGAAAACACTCAAATATAGCGGGTTACATTTTTTTTGTCATGTCATCATGAGTCTTTGGGTATATGTTGTAAAAGTGCTTTCCAAATTTTTGATGGTCGACATCACTTTATGCTCAGGTTTACTTTTACTATCAGATGACTGATATAACGCTCAGTCTACAGAAGAGAATTTTAACTGCAAAAAGACCATTTTGAAAGGTTTGTTTGAACCAAATATTCACTTGTCATCTATCTTGTATGCCTACTGCTTAGATATTTTAATTTTGGAGTGTGCTACAGCCAGGTTTCATAAGGCAACATCTCGAACAATCAGTAACTGTTCAGCTGCTATCGCTTATGTTAACGACTCAATTAACTAATTATTGTCAATGTCAATCTCAGCCATGTGCTGTTATGGTGAACTGAGAACCTTCTCTATGTAAGTAGTATGTGCCCCCCTCATTATTAATGTCATTGTTTATTGTTATTTTGACTCATAAATGCATTGCTGTTTGTTTGTCTTCAAATCAATAAAAAGTCAATAACAAAAAAAGGTTTATTTGTCATGTTTGCAGTCTGAGGGTGAATCATCTGCAAGTACTTAGTTGAGAGACAAATAATTTGTGTCATCGTTAAATTCATATTTTACATAATTTGAAAAGGAATGCCAGCTTTAGCCATTTCAGCACTAATGGAGAGCAGAAGATGGATGGAAGATGGGGAATTTCACTTTCCCAAATATTCATTTAACCACGCAAGATGATTAAAGGGTGGGAAGGGAGGGAAAATAGGTTACATAAAGAAACACATCCAGCTGCCCAGTATTATCACAGTTTCGTACCATTGGCCAAAAAACTACTCTACTTCATATGGGGAGAGTCTGAGGGAGGATTGTCTTATTCTGAAAAAGAGTCCTCAAGGCAACAGTAACAATTATTGAGGAATGGCAGTATAATACTTATTCACCCTAAGTATTCTCAGTGGAATTGATTGAAATTAAATCTTGTAGTGATCGAGTTATCCTTCTGCAGTGGATCATTCTGCTAGGGCTGCAACTAAGATTATTTACTTTTTGCCCCAAGTGACATCTTCAAATAGCTCGTCTTGTCCTGCCAACAGTGCAGAATCAAAAGATAATCAGTTCGCTGTCATAGAAGACTAAGAAAACCAGAAAATATTCACATTTTAGAAGTCGGAACCAGTACGTTTTTGATTAAAAAATTGACTTAAACAATTCATTGATCACCAAAACAGGTGCCGATTAATTTTCTGATCAATCAATTAATCGAATAATCATTTCAGTTTTACACACTGGACACATCTTATATCTCAAAGGCGCATCCCTCTCAAGACAGTTGGAATATTGAGAATCCTTATTAGGCCAGCAACATAAATATTCCGAACATTATGACATTCCTGCACTGGTATTCAAGTACTGCATTTTTCCCCTGTCCACATCCAGCAGTGATAGTAGAAAATGGCACCCTGGGTTCGCAAAACTGCACTGTAAAGTTTTTACGACTTCAAAAACATCACTTTCCACTGACATGCTACGCAAACGATGAGCATTCCATCTGGCTTTTAAAATGTAGTGAGATAAGGTCCTCAGATAACTCACTGAGCTCACGTCTAGGAGTGGGCCCAAATCCAGGACTGAGGCTTGGAAGTCTTTTTAGTCATAAATGTCTGTTAAGTTTGTTGTCCACTATTTAATGTGGTAGTGATGTACAAATCATTCTCTCAGACTATGTACAGTGTTTGCATTATGGATGACCATTATGAGTTGGTGTAAACTTAATTCAAAATGTATTAAATATGTACTAGCAACTCACGAGATGGACAGAATATGAGGAATAAGGAGTCAAAATAAATGTGAAAAAAAATCATTTGCACTTGTGAAAATGTTGGACTCAACAATTTTTTTTTAGAAATGCCTAAATACATCACATGTACCATTGCTGATATGGAAATAACATAATCATTACATAACTTTTACTAGCAGCAAATAATGCACAAGAGACTTCATAGTATGGCCTCCATATGGAAATGTGGAAAAGTGGATGGAAAAGTGAGACAACCCTCGTTTCCAAATTACAGCAGCTTACATAATATTTTCCCCCACTTGCAACTAGGGGCGCAACTCCTTGAGGGTCAGTAACTAAAGATTTTACAAGATGTTGCCAACGATGCCCTATTGGACTGACCTCATCTCAGAGCAGTCCTGGATGGTATCTGCAAGAGTTAATGGCGCTCTAAATAAATCCATTGCTGTTATAATGTAGACAGTAGTGCTGTTGGACTCATACCTGGGACCTGCTAAGGTTTGTATATGAGCTTTGCACTGAGAGGAATTCTTCATCAGGAAGGAGAAAGCGAATTTTGGAGTCAATGTAAATCAGCTGCTCCAGGTCAGAGGGCTCCGGGGTGTAACCCTGGTCTGTCGTAGCCCACACGTCCTCCTGAAAGAGAATAATCACTCAAATAAGTCACGGCCGACAGGGAAAAGGTACAGGTCTGACTCTAGCACTTGTTTTTCATTTCTGGATGATGATCATGGTGCTGATCACTCCGCTCCATGCTGAGAGCCAACTACATTGTCAAATGTCAAACTGCTTTTGAGACAATTGCCTCATCCTCACAGTGACTATCTATCCCAGTGAGACTTCCCATATATGCTATGGAACAGTGGGTGGAGAGCTCATCACAGTTCAGTGGTGAGACAAGATCTTGCAGTAAGGCTCAGCAAAGAACACAGCTGTGACCCCTGATCGCTGTGAGGGGGGAGCAGAAGAAAACTGGCAGAAGACAACAGCAAACATAAGGGTCTATCAACTGGGTGGAGCACAACGCCAAGCCAAAATTTAACAAATGAGATCCACAAAGTCTTATGACACTGATTCGTGTTTTGTATTGGCAGATTTATTCTGATGGAGCTACACCATTGTTTTAACCTTTGCAGTGGTTTACTTGGATGTGGCAGCATACCTCAATCCCAGGCTTCAGACAGGCCTCGGTTTATCCTTTGTGTTCATGCATGTCTTGACAAAATCCCACCGTCACTTACAATGTGATACAGGAACTCATACACAAGATGTAACCCAGAGAGCAAAGGTATACTTTTGTCCTTTCCTCAGCACTACTCTCTGTCCCACGGATGGTGTAGCATTGTTAGCTAATTGATATTAAATGAAAATGTGTGTGTACAAAACACAAACAGCTGCCCAGAGTGAAAACCCCACTAACACTGGTGCTGTTCTTCACAGTGATCAATAAAAAAGGAATACAAAGGATGAGAAACCAAGAAATGATGCTAACATTTTCTTTCTAGTTGAACAAATCAATTCCATCTTTAAATTAACAGTTTGAAATTTTGGGACATCCACTTATTTGCTTTCTTGCCTTAGCAGAAAGACTAGAAACAGGATAGAACAGTTTATTTTAACACTTTGGTTTTTGTGCAGAAGAAATAAACGAGACATAATGTAGTAATTAGCCAGCTTTTGAGGTGTTATATTGGAAGGATTTTGTAACCTTTGGACAGAACCAGGCTAGCTGTTTTGCTCTGTTTCAAGTCTTAATGCTAAGTTACAGAAAGCTAATCGTCTCCTGGCTCTGGCCTCAAATTTAGTGTGAGAAATGGTATTAATTAATTAATTTTCAACTGGCGGTTGGCTGTAGCTTTTCTGTAAATGCGTGAGAATGGTATCAATAAATCTCCTCATTAACTCTCAACAAAAAGCAAATAAGCGTATTATTCAGGTTGAACTTTTCCTTTAAGAAAGCTAATATTTTTTCACATCTGAAACGTCATTTTGACAAATAAGAATGCCTTTGATAATACTCAAACTGTCCTTTTTTTGAAAGCATCATCACACTGTTGTTCTTCATGTAATGTCAGTAAAAGTGATAACATCAACTACTGCAGCACCAAATTTTCTATGATTACTGACTGTTACTGATTTACTGCTTTAGGTTACCAGAGCAGCACAAAACAATGGAGCTTGTTAGGATGAGAGTCAGCCATATCAAAAAAAGTGTGTGAGGCCAACAGTTAGCAGCAGCTTGTGGTTTCACGACTCTGCCGAGAACTGAGTGAAGTCCTCGGGACTAAAGACGCATCGCTGCCAAAGTCCTGGTGACATAAATAATGTGCTCGCTCCTTTATGGCCATTCATAATAGCATGTCTCTCAATAACAGGAAGTCTTGCTCTAGCCAATAAAAAAAACCCAGAGCATCCGCACTCCCCTCAGTTTGGTATAACCAACAAAATTACTGTAGTATTGTTCTAAAAGTCAAGGCAAACATCATAAATATAGCAGCAAGATATATAAAAAAAAAAACCTTGGCAAGCTGTCCACGGATGCAGAACTGTCGGGGGTCAAGCTAAATGGAACCGTCTGTGAAAGGTATGTTCCTTCTTGCTTCCAAACAGGCTTCATCCCATCTGACTTCAAACTGCCCTCACAGCTGCTAAAAGAGCTATTAAAGAATATTAAAACTGAAAATAAAACACGTGAAGTTAATATGGTGTAGGTGGGTTCACAGTGAAACCGTCTACTGCTCCAGGTGGCAGGGGTCTCGGATGAGTCATCAAAAAAAACAAGGCCTCAGTGTCTTTGCTTTAAAGGTTAACTTAGGTATTTTTCAATCTGGACCTTATTTTCACATGTTTTGTGTCTATGCGACTAATTGGGACAACATTTTTTGAAATTGGTCCAGTATTGAGCGAGCACGCTGCAGTCAGCAGCAGTGACACAGAGCTGCAACGTAATCCTTGCAGGCAATTACACCCCGTCAAAGTACGTCCACTAAAGTGCTTGTTTTTGCCACTGAGAGGTTCAGATTGTTATTACAAGTGTCTGACAACTGCATGGAATGGTTCCCAATGGAGACAGACCTTTTGAGAGTGAAACTCTTTTTGTTTAACCATACACCTCTTGTCAAAGCCACCAGACTCCATTGATAAAAATAAGTAAATTGTAGAAGTTTCCCTTTACTTCAAGCACACACTCATTATGAGTGCAACTGTGGCTTATAGTAAGCCTATATGAAAGATCCTGGCCTCTGAATTTTGCAGAAACACCACAGAGGCAATTGTTCTGAAAACGTGATAATAAAATGAATCCATAATATGCTGCATTCCATGAGAACTGCATATGGCACTTGACATCTGGACCATAATCCGAAGTGCTTTGAGGAGACAGAATCTTCTGCCCAGAGGCCGTCTCAGCTGCCAAGCAGTCATCAAAACAGGGATTCTGACCAGTGTTACTCTGCGTGCTGTTCTGAGGTTATTTAATGTTTTTAATAATGTCATTCAAAAGGCCAAACGTTAGATAATGACACAGATTCCAACATATAACATAAACATTTTATAAATACAGAGAATGTATTAAAAGGCTGTAAATTAACAGTGGAAACAATATTTGCTTTCGATAAATAATTAACATACTGTATTATCAAAATGTTGGAAGCAGAAGCAGTAGACGGGATCATCAGCTGTGAGACTTCTGGACATGAGGGGGAAGTATTAAGGAAGTTGAAAAAAAGAGACTCTTCCTTCAGCATATGTTGTCTGTTAGAGCTTCATGTCAGCCTACCTCGCTGTCTGCACCTCTGGTACTGTCCTCTCCCTCTTCGTCTATCTCTCGGAGGAGCTCGGCCAGACGCTCTTTCTCTGCCTGGGTCAAAAGCACTTGGTCCCCCTCACCGCTTACTAGCTATTGCGTTATACCACATTTGGGGAGAGAAAAAAGGAGACTGAAAATCATTATTTGCATAACATTCCTACTCTTTTCAGTGGTGCCCTAGTGGGCGTAAAATATGGCTTTCTCTTGAGACAAATATTTTCCTCACTGGAAAAACAAACAGTCCAGAGACTTGATCCAAGCCATGCGATATACCCCTGCACTGCAGTTGGCCCAAAGTGAACTTTGACATACCTCAATATTTCTCTTGACAAAGTCCTTCTGTTTTGTCTTGCTTCTGGAAACTCCACAGTGGCTGCCTTCAAAGTGCTCTTCCCTGTTCTCCTCATGGCCTACTTCAAATGATTCTGTTGAGCTGTCTGGCCTCTTTTCACCTATCAGACAAGCCACACTTTAGATAGGTAAGTCAAGGCTCTAATAATAATTACCATAAGCCAAATCTAATCAAAATCCCAAAATTTCTGTGCGAGTCATTTTTCAACTCATCACCATAATTAGAGTTTGGGAAAGGGGTCATTTATTTTCCTTAAGGCATTGATATTATTATAAGCCACAAGGAAATTATTCATGAGTTGCACAGTGGTCAAACTGTTACACATTGACTACAGAAAAACTGGTGTAATCTCCAAGTGTACTAGTGTCTGCAACAGCCTGCCATAACTGGGAAAAACAACAGCTGTAATTGCCTGAGCTTATGGCGCCATCGTGTGTACAATCTAGGCAGTAGTACTAATAAGACAGAGAAACATGAATATACACACTCACTGGCACTTTCTAAGGTATACCTTGCAATACTAGTTGTACCTCCTTTTGCCTTCAGAACTGCCTTAATTCTTTGTGGCATACTTTCAACAAGGTGTTGGAAACATTCCTCTGAGACTTTGGTCCTTATTGACTTGATAGCATCATTCAGTTGCTGCAGATTTGTTGGCTGCACATCCATGATGAGAATCTCCAGTTCCAACACATCCCTAAGGTGCTCTATTGGGTTGAGATCTGGTGACTGTGGAGGCCATTGGAGTTCAGTGAACTCATTGTCATGTTCAAGAAACCAGTTTGAGATGATTTGAGCTTTGTGACATGGGGCATTATCCTGCTGGAATTAGCCATCAGAAGATGGGTAAACTGGGATCATAAAGGGGTGGACATGCTCAGTTGGTACTAAGGGGCCCAGAGTGTGCCAGGAAAATATCCCCACACCATTACACAACCAGGCAGGACAGATCCATGCTTTCATGTTATTTACGCCAAATTCTGACCCTACTATCTGAATGTCACAGCTGAAATCGATAATCATCAGACAAGGCAACGTTTTTCCAATCTTCTATTGTCCAATTTTGGTGAGCCAGTGTGAATTGTAGCCTCAGTTTCCTGTTCTTAACTGACAGTAGTGGCATCCGGTGTGCTGCTGTAGCCCATCTGCTTCAAGGTTCGACTTGTTTTGCGTTCAGAGATGGTATTCCGCAAACCTTGGTTGTAACAAGTGGTTATTTGTGTTACTGTTGCTTTTCTGTCATCTCAAACCAGTCTGCCCATTCTCCTCTGACATCAACAAGGCATTTTTTTCCACACAACTGCCGCTCACTGGATATTTTCTCTTTTTCGGACCATTCTCTGTAAACCCTAGAGATGGCTGTGCGTGAAAATCCCAGTAGATTAGCAGTTTCTGAAATACTCAGACCAGCAACAACAACCATGCCACGTTCAAAGTCACTTAAATCCCCTTTCCTTCCCCATTCTGATGCTCGGTTTGAACTTCAGCAAGTTGTCTTGACCACATCTACATGCCTAAATGCAGTGAGTTGCTGCCTTGTGACTGGCTGATTAGCCATTTGTGTTAACAAGCAATTGAACAGGTGTACCTAAATAAGTGCCCGGTGACTGTATATGTGCACGCTGCATTTTCTGTCTTGCTCGATTTTCACTAACTCACTTTGCTCCAAGTATTGGCTATCTCTGTCGTGCTCACAATCAGGAACCTGAGTTTCAAACACAGGCACAAACTCTTGCTCTTCTTCTGTTCCTTTAAGATAAAGAAAAACACATTTAAGATGTTTCACAGTGACATATTAAACTTTTCAACAATGTTGCTGCTCTGTATACTGCCTGTGCTTACCAGTGGGTGCTTCCAGGGCCAAAAACAACCTTGTGTTCAAAGCTTCATGGGCACATTCACAGTGACCTTCAGGCTTATTCTGCTGCAGAAAAATACACAGTATAACATCACACCATATGTTGCAAGTGTGACTACAATTTTTTGTCAAAACAGTACTGGTCTAGAAAACTGTAAGTAGAGTGAATACACTGTCTATGTCTACCAGGAACTCTTGCCAGAGTTTTGCTTGTAGTTCTTTCCTTTGACGCTTGACTTCTTTTTCTTTGCAGATCTTTGCAGACAGTATTTCATCAAGCCGTCTCATTTCCTCAATGGCTTTCTGTAGTTTTAAATATTCCTTCTCTTCATCAGCAACTTCAACCTGACACTGACCTGAAACATGTACAAATATTGTAGTGTGGGGAAGCTTAATTAAACTGTTAGTTTCTCACTCCATTGAACACTTACCTTTGTCAGGACCTCTGGCTGAGGAGTTGATTATAGTTTCTTCAGAGCTGCTCTGGAGCTACAAGACAATGTTTTTTGTTACTGGAACATGTCCAATTTTGCATGTCAGTAATCGTGAATTGTAAAATGTCAGTATTGACATTGATTAATTACCTGCACATCAGCAGCATCGTTGGTCAAAACAACAAGGGCAAATGGAGTTGTAGGAATAAATCTGTCACCATGAGGCAATGACACGCTCGACACACGGCTACCTGTTTGCTCACTCGATGCAGGTCGGGAAATATCATCTAAACTACCTCTGGTAATTTCCATAGCGTGATTCGCTTAAGCTGTATATTAAAGAAGAAAAACGACAGCAAAGTATTTGCAATTATTAAATAGCTGTTGGCTAAGTACAACCACGTATTGGTATCAACAGATACTGGTAACTATGGACGCAAACACAACCGGATGTTGTAACTCTGGAAATGTGCATTTATTATGGCTACCGGAGGAAATCAGGCAGCTCAGCTGATGCCTCAGTCTGAGCTTGCGTAGCGGATGTCAAGCTAGCCGTTAGGGAGCTAGTTAGCGGTTAGCTGTACCGCTCGGTTCGTAAAATCATATGTTTGTTGTTTCAACAGCAACGTTAAATGTCTTAGGTGTAGCTGAGAAATTGGTGATAAATGTCTACAGTGTGAGAAAGCGGTGGTGGTGGTTTTGCGGCCGTGTGTTTGTGGTAGGTAAGTTAATGTTAACCAACACGCAATGTTCATTTCTAACGTAAGCTAGCGTCAGCAAGCTACAAAGGTTAATATTGACCATCAGGAAATTTAGTGAACGAAAGTCAGCATTGGTGTGCTCTGTTGGATATTATACGTTTTCTGTAGGTGGTAGCACAGTTGCTAGCTAGTTATCATATACGCTAACTGTACATACGCGATATGTGAATAGGAGGTATTTTGTTTTGGCCTTGTTCTCGGTAACGTTAACGTTACCAAAGCTAAGCACTGGAAATGGGTGTGTAAATAGCCGCTGAAACGGAACCATTCAGAACCAGAGTTAGATTTTATATACTGGGGGCATATTAGCGAAAGTAATTGCTTCGCTAACATTCATAATTAAAAGGCGGAATTGCCGTGGTTTTCTAATTACCGCTAGCTTGCTAAATGATTAACGTGATACCAGTATTGCTAGTTTTCCCTGTCAGGCTTGTCATTGTACCACGGTCCCACAATCACACCCATTTCGCTGGCCGCTATCCATGCTCTGCAGAGTACCTGCACCAGGCAGGTCTCAGCATATGATCAAGGCTATGAGGAATTGGTTTTATTTTATGATGATACATTTGTAATTACATGATTTTCTTATCACTCCAGGTTGAATTGACTCTGCAGGGGAAGATGTGCAATGGAATGATAGAGTCTATACCAAAAGCCTTTTGGGCCCACACCTCAGCCACTAAACGGTCTTTCTCGTTGTTGCTGGTACTCACTGCAGTGTCCGCTGGGCAAGGGTCAGGTAAGAGGCAGAATTTATGGTTGCACACTCATACATCACTGAACTTTATGGATCATGTCTGTATTGTATTAGCCTTTCTTTTGTCTGCTGAAGAAACATTATTAAATCAGCGTTGTATGTTATGCCACTGCAAAACCTGTCTAGTACACATGGTTACCATAGATCATTCTGTGTTTCTATCACTTGTGGCTTTACTGGGTAATATTATCTAACCAGGCTGAAAATGTTTTTTGTATTAATTCTACTGAAACTGGAGAAGTTTCACAGAATTCCTCTTTTTTTTCGTCTTCTGTTCCCAGGATGTGTGAGGCCATATATGGTCCAGAACAGCTGGGTAAACCTCACAGAAACCAACAGGGGCTCGTTCCCTGTGGGCACTGTGCTACAGTACAGCTGTGACCCCGGTTACCTGCCAGACGGACCTAGCATCCTCACCTGCAACACACCGGGACGCTGGTCCTCTGACCCCCCTCACTGTATACGCAGTGGTGGTAAGATATTCTATCCACCACTGTCTTTTCAGATTTGTAACATAATGAGGGCTCACTCTGTTGTGCACTAGCCTAACTTACAATCCTTCTCTCATAAGTAAAAACATATTTACTTTCAGTTATTTTCACATTTTAATTATGTGACACAAGTATAAACTTGAAAGAAAAAGAAAAAACACAACTAGTTTTTAAAGTACTTTACATGTTGTGTGTTGTATCCCCCCCACCCAATCAGCATGTCTACCCCTCTCAAAACCCGAGAATGGAGGCTACATCTGTCATCCATCCCCCTGTCGAATGTTTTCTCATGGCACTGTGATTGAGTTCTTCTGTGATGAGGGTTTGGTTCTCAGTGGAGACTATAACTACCTGACCTGTCAGGATGGACAGTGGGACGGCCCCATGCAGATCAGTTGTGTCAGCCAAGGTTGGTCAGTCCTCAAACTCGGATCTGTCAGTAGATTCATGTATTGGTCTTAAACCACTGGTCTCAACTATATCAAGTGGAAGTGATTGTCTTCAAAACACATTTTTATGTTAAGGTCTTTTCTAAAGAGTTTGTTCTGTTTTTAACTCCTTTTAATCTGTGTTTAATCTCTGTCTTACCTGTAAATTGCTTTGTAACAAGGTCTTAGAAATATCCTACAAAAACAAAACCTATACTAAAAATTAAATGTTATGTTCTCCTCCCTTTTGTTTTGTTTTATTTGAGGTTGTGTAAGACCCTCTACGGTGCAGCATGGCTCAACTAATCTGACAGACACCAACAGAAGCTTGTTCCCTGTGGGCACGGTGCTGCAGTACAGCTGTGACCCCGGTTACCTGCCAGATGGACCTAGCATCCTCACCTGCACCACACTGGGACGGTGGTCTTCTGAACCTCCTCACTGTGTACGCAGTGACGGTAAAGACAAACCTCCTCGTAATAATATTCAAGTCCCCCAGTCTTTGAGTTTTCCTAAAAGTGTGTTATGTAGCACCCCCTATTGTTAAAAAATGTCAAGATAAAGCCAGATTTAAAAAATGGGCTTTTATACCAATAAGCGCCAGTGGGTAAAATTTATCCCTATAGAGAATACAGTAATTTTAGCACTGTTCATTTTGCGCGTTTAGATAAACATTCTATGTTGCCATTGGCAACGCCTTTTCCACTACAGGCATTACACTTGCTCAGCGCAGTGAGTGAAGGAGAGTCTAACAGTGGGGGCTGAGCGATGTGTCCTAGGTTGATTCTGCATCTGACGGGTCATTATCTGACAGCGATCCACTTGTATGAAGTAAACATGCATAAAAGCTGCTGCTTCTAACTTTTTTGTAGGCTACTTGATCATCAAAACTAATGCTGCAGTAGCCTAGTTTTTCGCTGTGATAGAGGTGTGTTCTGCGGCCCCTTCAAGAGAGCCCCTTGTGTGCATTTTGATCGGCTATAACTTTTCCTATGCTATGTATTTTTTTTAGTAAAAGTGATCATTGTACATTTATCCTTGGGTAAAAATCTACTATAAATTTTGGAATTGATAATTGTTTCTTTCGAATAAATAGCCTAATTTTATTTGGACTTTCAAACTTTAGTAGCTATGTGTTACTCTCTGGATGCCCGATGGACTCCAAAAAAAACAAGCAGACCAGTAAGAACTAGCCGACATTATGAGGCCTATTATTATCGCCTATAAAACACTAAAACAGTCAGTTGTTTTTGTAAATTGTATGCTGCATTTAAATTCAAGCTGTGTTTAGAATATAACTAGGCTATAACATCAGCGGTGAGTGGATGACATCAAAAGAGCCGCCACGTGTGAACATGCCCTTCACAGATGCGCAGCGCAAGCGATCGACCTGCACAGTGAAGACAATGAATAAAATAGAATAAACATTTTGTAAATGCCTGAAATATGGGGATAATGTTTATAAGAAATGCGCAGCCAAGCTGCTAAATGTTTCCCCAAGTGTGTTGGAGCAACATGTAGCAGAAATAATCACAAAATCACTGCATTTTTATATGGCGATTATAGGTATACAACGAACCCTGGCGGTTCTAGTGTTAAAGCCCACCAGGTCACCTGCTTGAGCTAGTTTTAAGTTGCTTAGATTGTGCATACCAATATAAATGTTTAAACTTTTGTCAGTATGGACATGCTACACATAGTTAGATTCTTCACAATTCAATCGTTTAGTTAATTTTACGGAAACAATGAGCACCAAATAATTCATTCGGATTTACTGGCATGGTAAATAATTAAAAGCAATAAGCAAGGTGAGTTCAGTGATTTAAGCAAATAAAAGCCCGGGCTATTAATTGAAGTTCTACAGTAAACCTCTTACTCCTGGTATCAACATGTACTGTAACCTAAATCCATGGAAAGGATCTTCTTTTTGTTTTGTTGTTGATGTATTATAGTTTTCTTTTATACTTTTATCTATTTAGTTGTCAATATTTATTTCAGTTTCATTCTTTAATGTATTTTCTGTTTGTATTTCAATTTTCATCTGTGGTTTTAACACATTTAGTTTGTTTACATTTAGGGCTGGGGCGATTCGTCGACGTCATCGATCACGTAAATACGTCGCCGCGTCGCTGCATCCGGTGTGGTATTATCCCGGACAAGCTCCAGCTACAAGACCGTGGCTTTGACTGTCTAAAGTTTGGAGTATTTCAGACAGGCACTCAACAACGTGCTGCTCTGTCAGCTCTGTGAACTGGAAACAGCTTCACTGCAGCACAACTGCTGTCCACGAATACGTGAAGCAGCACGAACACGTGAAACGAAAGTATCCCGGATCACTTTGTCTAGACGGCAGCACCGCAAATCGTGTTTACTTTCTGTCGGCACATTATCAGCATGAGGACACGTAGTCCATTAAAATATTTATTGCCCCGCTGCTGTCATGGTAACGTAACGTATCACCGCGTGTCATCTAATGTTCAGCCGTTTCATATTTTCTGTTTATTTAACGGCCACGTATGAGCGAGAAAACAGCTGAAACTAACAATACAGACGATCCGTGACTGTCTGAACAGTCTGTGAGTCCTTTCAGGTGTTCACTGGTGCAGAAATACATTTGATTATTATACTGCATTACTTAATATTGAAATAATTCCATGTCAGAAACATTTAAAGTTTTAAGTAAAGCAGCCTAATTAGTCAGTGATGTGGAAATTTGATTCATTTTAAGATTTGCTGCTATTGTCATTATTCTAATGTGCTTCATCAGGATGATTGAATGAAATATAGATTTATTGATTAGACATGTTGACAAGAGTAATAGGCAACTTTTCTTTCTTTTGAATAAAAAAAATTAGTCGTTAGATTAATCAACTAATCGAAAAATTAATCGTTAGATTAATCGACTTGAAAAATAATCGATATGTACAGCCCTATTTACATTAATAACATTGATTTGGATGGAACATAAACAAGCTCAACTGTTCCTGTAAATGCCGTCAATGATATACTGGGGCTCTGATCATACAAACCAACTCCACAAGAGGTCGGAGACACATTTTGTGTTTTTTTTTTTTTTTTTTTTTTAAAAACAACATTCAGCAACTGTGATAACAAAATATTATGACCGACACGCTGCCCAGATACTACATACTGAGAATATCCATGGATAGAGACAAAGCAAGTTTTTATTATAAACAGATAGTCCAGGAAGAGAAATAGTGAAACAACATCCAGCACTGGAGTTGATGTATTTATTGTTTTCCTGTCTTTCCATGGACAGTGTGCGAGCCGCCATATCAGCCAGAGAACAGGGGCTATAATTCAATTCAAATCAGCTTCATTGGTGTGAATGTATAACAGTATTGCCAAAGTTGCATATACCTATACCTGCCACCCCTCCACATGTGGAAGACCTACTCATGGTACTGTGATTGAATATTTCTGTGATGAATGTTATATTCTATCGTCTTCCATAATCTATCCATCTATCCATAAGGAAGACGATAGATTCTGTACCTACCTTTGGGAAATGGGACAAACTAGTGCCAATCAGCTGCCTCATGGACAAAGGAAAAGATAGATTAGCTGACACATTTGACCTATTAAATAAATAGTTACAAAGTTCTGTACCAGTAACGGGGTCAACTGTTTATCTGTCTCACAGACTGCAACTGTTTTTATGCTCAGGGATTTACTTATTTATTTTAATGATTCAGTAAGTTTTTGTTAATTGTTCTTACTCTGTTTTATCCATTGAACTTGTTTTTATCTTTTTGTAAAGCACTTTGTAACATTGTTTTATAAACAAGTGCTTTATAAACAAAACCTGTGGTTTGTTATAAAAAAAATAATTTGATCTGTTTACTGCATTTTTGACTGTTGTCCTATTTTTCTTTTTTTTAGGCTGTGTAAGACCCTCTACGGTGCAGCATGGCTCAACTAATCTGACAGAAACCAACAGAAGCTCGTTCCCTGTGGGCACGGTGCTGCAGTACAGCTGTGACCCCGGTTACCTGCCAGATGGACCTAGCATCCTCACCTGCACCATACTGGGACGGTGGTCTTCTGAACCTCCTCACTGTATACGCAGTGACGGTAAAGACAAACCTCGTAGTACTGTCTGCATTTCTGCTCTGCCTCTAGGCAACATAAACCCTCTTTACGCCTCGTATCAATGTAGATAGTATCTGATTTTGGTGTATTGTAGTTTCAGATTTTTCATTATTTATCTTGATTTAGTTTTTAATATTTATTTCAGTTTCATCTTTAATGTATTTTCTGTTTTGTAATTTCAATTTACACCTATGGTTTTAAAAAATTCATTTTGGTTATATTAATAACATGGATTTGGATTGCGCTAAAACAAGCTAAACTGGTCTGTACGGAGTTTGGGGCTCTGATCATATAAACCAACTCCACAAGAGGTCCAAGACACATTTTGTGTTTTAAGTCAACATCCAGCAACTGTCATAACAAAATATTATTGTTGCATACTCCAGAATATCCATGGATAGAGACAAAGCAAGTTTTTTTTATTACAAACAGATCCACTGAGACATACTGATTCCTTCGTGAAACAACATGCAGCACTGGATTTGATTTTTCTTTTTCTTTATTTTTTTTTTCCTTTCCATGGACAGTTACATATATCCATGGATAGCGACAAATCAGTTTTATTACAGAAACACCAGGAGAAAGTGAGATACTGTAGAAGAGAAATCTTAATGGTAGATGCAGTAAAGTACATAGTGATAGGTAAGGCAAGTTTATTTGTATAGCACCTTTCAACAATGGCATGGAACAACATACAGCGCTGGAGTTGATGGATTTGTCTTGTATTCCTCTCTTTCCGTGGACAGTATGCCAGCCTCCATATCAGCCAGAGAACGGGGGCTACACCTGCCACCCCTCCACATGTGAAAGACTCACTCATGGCACTGTGATTGAATATTTCTGTGATGAAGGCTATATTCTTAAGGGAGACTATAAATACCTTACCTGTCAGTATGGGGAATGGGACAGCCAAGTGAAGCTCAGCTGCCTCATGGAGCAAGGTAAAAAAAAAAAAAATCGGTACTATTAAATGGATAATTACAGGAACTTATTTACAAATAGCTGTCAACTGTTTATGTGCCTCACAGATCGCAATCCAACTTTACCATTGGGGATGCCCGCCTTGTCAATAGTGGCATCCACAGCCAGTTCAGTGGCCCTAATCTTGCTCCTGGTGGTGCTGTTTGTACTTCTGCAGCCAAAAATCAAGTCCCTCCATCGGTGAGTCTGCCCTTGAAATCATGCTTTTCACTACCAGCATCTTATTAACAATGCATCTTTTACTAGATACCAAAGGCACCTTTAATGGAGGAAACGAGTTGTAGAAGTGATAAGTTGACAAATTTGACATCCCTCTGGTCCTCCACACCTAGACGGGACCAGGGTGTGTCCGGCCAGCCTGTGTCAATCATGGTGGAAGGAGTCCAGGTGACTCTGCCCTCGTATGAGGAGGCTGTGAGTAGTAGTGGGGCCTCAGCCAACAGCTCAGAGTCTCGAGTCCAGATAGTCCTGTCTGAGGGCCAGCATGCCACAGCGCCAGAGGCTGGCCCCTCTAGGCCTTTATCCCTCAAACAACAGCAGTCGGAGATGGCTGTGGTCCACCCTGTACCGCTGTCCTCATCCTCCTCGTCACCCTCGCCCTCATCCTCTACCTGGGTTCTGGAGCACGTAGGTGCTGCAGCCCCTTCATCCTCACAAGAAAGGCCGTCTGCAGGCAGCGACCAACACAGCCTGTCTCTGGACTCTGAGATGGACTACTCTGATGGTAAAGCCCCCCCATTCAGACACACTCTTCACTTTAAAATCCCCACTTAGTACTGAAGCAAATGTGTTTCTGCTGTCTACAGATATGCCGTTGCTGAAGGAGGCCTGAAAAAAGCTGCAGCCTTTTGACTTTCCCGAGACCACCAGCATTATTACTGAGCTGTACCGGTGACCGGGATGCCATTTGAAGAGGCCCTGAGTGAAGCTGTGGGTCGCTCAGAATAGTTCCTCTGACCATCTCAAAGGAGAACAGAGAAGGGATTCACATGTACATACATGCTTTTATTGTTTGGTTTTTTTTTTTTTTATAGGAATTCCTTCACTATGTATGTACAGCTACAGACTGAATGAATGGGCAAAGCTGCTCATTTTGGGAGCTAAATATCTCATCAGTGTCTTGTTTTGTCTCATTATTTAAGGTGTTATTAATCATGACTCATGCCATTTCATACATCACTGTACAGTTTAAGGCTTCTTGTCCACCCATGAGTTTCACTCTGCTGCATATTTCATTGGACTGAGGGCAAACACTTTAAGAGACTTGTTGTTTCAGGCCTGTATTCAGCACATTTCATCCTTGCAAAGAGTTCACATGTATTCTCTTCATACTCATACCCTTGCCCCAATGGCCTTAGCTTTCCACTTCTATGCACAGGTATCTATAATATGTCAAATAAGGAATTTCAAAAATGAATGTCAGTTAAATGCCTCCACTGCTTAGTGTAATATGTGTGGCTTTGTCAGACACATCACTTGTACACCAGAAAATATTGTTCTTTTTAATTTATGCAGGCTGCTTGGAAATTTCTATTTTTAAGTCTTGGAAACTGAAATGTGTATTTAATTTATTTGTGTCCAGAACGCTGTTGACCAGCTTTGGCTTTTTTTTTAATGCTTCCACAGCTCTTAGAAATGTAGTTCTTTTCACTTTGCCTCTTCCATTTTAACTCTACTGCAGGCACGTTATGTGACACTGTAAACATGGTTGTGAAGATCCAACACAAAAATGAGTAAGTGTACAGATTAGTGTAATGTCTGTGTTCGCTTTGTTTGACTGTCCATTGAATTTACTTTTGGACTGAGGAATGGATTAGTTTTTGTTTGTGAAGATGGTATTTTAATATATGTAAAAAGTTTTAAGTTAAGTTTACTCTGTATATACCATGTGGCCATTTTGATTAAATATTATTTGAGGTGTTCAAATTGCCTGTATCTTTCTTCATTCGAGTGCTTTCTGCATCTTTGAAACATCTGAGCTTGACTTTCCTCTGAGGTCTGACATATTTATGTCCAAATATTTAGTAACGCACAGCACAACTCTCCCGTCTCAAAAGACCAAATGACACATCGATCATTGTGATTTTTATAAACTCATTCATTCATATAAAATTTGCTAAAATATATTCAAACTGCCTCGCACCAGATATTTAGAATACAAAAATATAAATACAAAATGTCATTATTAATCATTGACTTTCTACTTAAACATGCACTGACTGTAATTTACATTGTATAGACTCAATCAAGTAAATGATGATTAAAGTATTAGTGGCTGCACATTCTCAACAATCTTTCTGTTAGCATCACAGGCCTGAGTGAGGAATATGCAGATGACCCAGAGATAGTGAGGGCGCTGGATAGCTGCAGCCTCTGTGGGTAGGATGCAGCTCTCTTTCATTTCCCTCTCCAGCACTGGGTTGTCATCTGTGATGCTGTCACGGTTTTGCCACCTCTTGTTTAACCTCTATACTCTGGAATATTATTTTATCTGTGAGAAAAGAGAAGGGTGATATCTTAGACTTTCTTACATCTGAATTCAGAAGACCGATGGCTACAAATGTGTGGAAAGAGTGCATGTGCTGGTCTGACCCCTCCTCCCAGCCTCATGGTACAAAAACACACAGGCAGCTGTGACATTTACCCTCAGCTGGTGGCTTGAATCTTTGGTAACATCTGAAGCACAGGCACATAAGAAGGGCCTCGGTACACTGGAATGCGATGTAGATCAGAGGGAAGAGAAAAATGGGTCCAATGACCTGTGGGGAAAAGGCCACCTTTAGGATGGCAACACACAGCTGGATGTTTTGACACCCTGTTTCCATGGAGATGGTCCTGCTGCATCTAAAAAGAGGTGAGTCACCAATTTTAGTGTGAGTGGAAGAAATAGCTTGAAAAACATTTATTTCCAGGTTTTAATTGTTTGTCTGAAGCTTTTGTCCACTTAGTTTAACATCTAACCACGTTGCTGGATGACATACTACTGGATATTTCTTTTATATGCATATGGTGGGGGCAGTATTTCATCTTTGGAAAAACATTTTGTTTTGTCTTTGTTATATTTCATTGGCAGCCTAATACTAATACCATAATATTACGCAGTATACTCAGAAATAGTATAGTACACTGTTTAATATCTAGTAATTGGGACACAGCTGTAGGCTGGCTTGTACACCAACCACAATCTAGTGTATATTCACTTACTTTGGACTGAGTCTGCATAAGACAGACATGATATATCCCAGCATATAGCCGATCAGTGGCATCAGTGCAGCCACGGTCAGAATATCAGGTGTGAGGACCATCCATAGTGTGTCTTTGACGGCGATACAAGACAGGCTGAACATTATCACGCTGGCGATGATCAGGATGCAGAGACCGGTCTGTCGAGAAAGTGAAAACATGAATGTTTCTTGAATCTCAGCATCAAAACATCAAATGTCTCTCTTCTTCCCCATTTCCAAATGTGGCGAAAAACGTCTGGAAACATCGAGTAGTTAGTAAGTAAGGACTGTGGCTTCCTGGTGCACAAATGTCTTCCAGTTTATTTGGACCACAAATTACAACCACGCCATGTGATGACTGGCTGTGGTAAACTGAACTTGGTGTCCTGTAGGCCATTTTCACATGTCATGGCAGTAAAAGCACAGGTGAAAACAACAAAATGAATGAAGGTTGAACATCTTAGGAGTCTCACTTTTTTGACGACTGGAGTGTAGTTTGGTTTGTAGTGATTAATGACAATGCCAGTGGCACAAGGCAGCAGAGTGAACACGAGACTCATGATGATGCCAACGTATGGTACAGCGTTTTCTAGCCCGGGGAAGCCTTTGCAATAGATGTAGATCAGTAAAGGCATCATACCCAGGGCCACGATACTGGAACAAGTGGTCATTACGATGCTGGGAAGGTATCAAAGAGACAAGAAACATAATTAAACATGCCTGAAATGTAAATGTTGCAAATGGTAGGCTACATGCTTGTTTTATAGGAACATTGTTTATCGACATTCTGTGGTATGACAGCGAATTGTGCTTACACAGCTTAAGTAGTAAATTACTGTAGGCATTTGTACTCTTCCAACAAGACAGGAATCAATACGCCAATGAGGTTGTTACCTGAGGTTCATGTCACCCTTCATGGCCAGGGATAAAATGTTTGACAAGCTTCCGCCCGGACAGCAGCCGCAGATGAGCACAGTCACAGCCTTGATGGGAGGCATCTGTAGGAGTTTGGCTAGACAGAAAGCAGTCAGGGGCATGATGCCAAATTGGGCCAGCAGTGCAATGGCCACTCCTTTTGGCTTGAGGAGATGGGTTTTAATTTTGGAAATCTCCATCGTACAGCCAAGGGATATCATGGTGATGAAGAGCACAACTATGGAGAGCGTATTGATGGCTTTGTTTAAGAGGGGGGAGATGAACTGGACCTCCATGCTTCCATTGACAGAGACATTTCCTTCGTTATGGATGGTAGCTATCCCCTCATAGATTTCTGTCACATTCATTGTGGCACTCATCCCAGCACTGTGTGTTTACTGTACTGTGGCTTTCACCTGTCAACAAAGCAAACTCAATTAACAGCGAATGAATTACAGTTCATTACATTCCATTTCCACTTACAATTTCATTTGCTGTAGCAACAATTATCATGAAAAGTCGAAAGCCACCAATGGGTCCCTCTCTTTATACTTTCCGACTTCCCCAGCCTGTTTTTGGCACATAGTCCCAAGCAAATTAGATCCTTCTGCAGCAGGACTGTGTATGTGGGATTGACTAAAAATAAACGCCCATTAATAACTTCTGAAATACAAGGGGGGCATATGCCACAGAGGAATAGGCTGTATCGGGGTTTGGACAATACTAAGGTAATATGATCAATTCATTGCTGGTTTTGGTATTTTCTTTGGAACTGCTGACACCAAGAAAACAGAGAATATCATCTAGCCTTTAAACCATACAGTCATTGTGAGGGGTTTACTATGATTGGCTAGTCAATCAATTACAAACTCCACATCAGACATAATTAAATGGTGCGAGCAACAGTGAGGACGCCTGCAGCAGGGTGAGTAGTTTTAGCAAAATAAATAAATAAAACAAAATAAAGTCGTTGGCAACTTTTTATGTACCTTTTTCTCAAAATTTTAGCCTACTTTTACTCCAGTAGATTCTTTGGGTCAGTAATCTGCTTCTAATTTCGCTAGATTTTCCATTGATACCTTCATAATTTACACTGTTTTGTGAAAAAAACAAAACGATAATATTCCGGCAGCTGGGGCGCCAGAAAAATACCATAAAATAACAGTAAATAACTAACTCCGAATATTCCATAATGACAACACAGTTTGTAACTTTCATTTTACAAAAAATATTGTGTAATTTTGGGGCTTTTAATGTTTATTGAAGAAAATATACACCTGTAAAAACAATTAAATTACCTATAAATATGTTATATAAGCGTTAAACACTGCTATAATACAAAAAATCAGACTTAAAATTTGCAGTAGAGTGCAGCGATTAGTTAAGTTTTATAATTTATAAAGTTTATATAATTTTACATAAAAATCTTGTAAATGTAATCAGTGTTTAATCTAAAAAAATTATAAAATGTTTTTCCATTTAAAAAAAAATCAAAATACTATTCTGAAACTCTCAACTTTTAGGATTGTGTTTATTGGAATTTTTGACCTTTCTTGTAGAAGCGCATCTGTGAGGTCAGGCACAGATGTACGAGAATGCCTAGCTCACAGTCTCTGCGGTAATTCATCCCAGTTTGCACTGAAGCCAGTTCTGTATTCACAAACATTTGTTGCTTTCCTAGATGTGAGATGAAGTGACCACAGAACAGGGAGGGTCAGGGCTTAGGGAGACACAGGAAACATCACAAACAGCTGTGGCTGCTGTGGCTAGCTACACTGACTAGCAGCTGTTCCATGGTTTTTATGGTATGTAGTCGGTTTTGTTCTAGTTACATTATACTCCATCTCTCTGACTGTGCACCTGAGTCTTCATAATATCCCCTCTCCAGTATATTCTTCATCTCTGCTTTATTAAAAAAGTAATTCTGGGGTGCAGACCCCCGAACCACCCTAGCATATATCTAGGGGTCTCTGCTGGAACCCTTTTGCCAATTGCACCTCTGTTAGCCCAAATGCCCAAAGGTTTGCTTACAGAACCACTCTGTCAGGTCCATGGAGCAAAATTAATCCTATGCCTAAACACAACCCTGTAGGCAGAAGAGGGACTTATTTTTCGCATCCTTAAAAAAATGTGCTTGCTGCCCCACAGCAACTGTTACTGTGTAGAAAGTTAAGCTGCATGATCAGAATCCCCTCAACAAAAGGAACTAGGAGACATGTTTTCAAGAATCACTTAATATTCCTGGCATGTCTTCACGAAGCAGAGGCAGGGTAAGGGTTAGGGCTAGTCAAATTCTTGCAAAAGAGAGGCAACACAATCATAAAAACAAGATGTCATTTAGGGCACTGAAGATATTTCTCTCATATCATTTAGTTGTTATTTTTATTAAATTTTCTCAGCACACGGTTGTGCAATTCTAATAGATAATAAACTAAGTTCTTACTTGTTCAACTTTAGTAGCACCTTGAACACAGGTGGTGTTTTGTTTCAGATATCGTTATAAAATAACCAAAAACCAACATGGCTCTGTGCTCTACTGGCTGTGAAAACAAATCTCCCCCCTTGGAAAATTAATTGAAATCTTGGATTAGATCTGCACTGGATGAACTGTCAAGTAACTCATTATCTTGTTGCCTCTTAGAAAGGAAAACAGTTAAATATGTTACTGAATAATCTGCTATTCCTGAAATTGAATGTTACCACTTAAAACTGGTTTTATCTGTCGGGAGGATTTTCCCATGTTAAGTTTTACAGCCAGATAGAATACTAACTTCACTTCAAACCTGACTTTAACTGGTTTGCAGTCTGCTTTTAGAGCTTAATATAATCCTTTTAAATTTGAGACTAACCCCAACCCCCAACTCTAGCAAAAAATCCAGCAAAAGACATTATCTGTGATGACTGATAAATACTAGATAGATCTATTATATCATTGATTTGAAGCCTAGCCAACTGCAATGCCAGCAACTTTCAGATCTCCTCCTACAGTCCAGTCTGTACCACTGATTGAGAAGAAAAGTGGCAGAAGCAGCTGTTTAACGTATTCATGATGTCTGCCTCTGCAGGTCTAAAGTCCCCCTCCACTCCAAAAATGTGTTTTGCTTATTGTTCTGTACTTGCTTAATGTTTGACATTCAGTGTGCAGGATGACTTATGTGCAGAGTTTGACTCTTTTCACATCTGTTGGGGGTGCTCACCATAAATCTCCTTAACTGAAGAACTTGTATGTACGAGTGTGATTTTTGAAGCCTGTTGCAAACCAGTATTCAACCTACACAAGTGTGATGGATGGATTTTAAGACATTTTAATTAGGTAATTTTACTTTTTTTGTAGAAAATTATACATCTTAAAACATGTCTTGATGGGACTTTTGAATAATGAATATAGTAGAGCCTTGCTTTTCCCATTGACTAAAAGCTATACTGCTGTGTTTCCCCCATCAACCACCAAACTCAGAACTGCATAGAGCAGCTACAAAAAAGGACCTTTAGCCTACAACTGAGGTGGTGTGAGTTTTCAAATTTAGCAGTTATTACTTTATTTGACTGTAGAACACAACGTCTACATCCGCAGGTGTAAACAACACTCTAACATTACAGAATCTCACAAAAGTGATTACCCCTCCCATTGTTGTAAATATTTGATCATATCTTTTTATGTGATAACACTGAAGAAACAGTTTGTTACAATGTAAAGTACTGAGTGTTCCCTCAAAATAACACATCACACAGCCATTAATGTCTAAACCACTAGCAACAAAGGTGAGTACAAACAAAAAGGTCCAAAAATCTACTGCAGTAAATGTTCCATTATATGCTTCACTAAAATTATTAAAATATTGTTCTGACAAATTATATATCTATTCAGTAAAATAGTTATATAGTTTGGCTACTTTCACATTTAATGTAGAAAGAGAAAACTAACTTGTACTTTAGTGTCTGACTTCCCTCTTTCATGTAAAACATTAGAAATGTTTAATGAATATCATTTGCTGCAACCTTTGATGAAGGCATTATTTTATCATTTATTTGCAATTTTCTCTCTCTGAGTTGGCTTTTGCTATACAGTACACAATAAATATAATAATACAAGAATAAAATAGCACCAGTCTTATCCTTAAAACAAAACTAAAGATATCGTAATGATAGGCAAAGTAATAAAAAGGCAATAGCTTACCTTATTTTAAGCCAACTTCTGCGACTGCACTGTGCTCACTCACACACTGGTTTCTCTCTCCCCTCACATTCTTGTGTCGCCTTTCTCTGTGCCCCCCCCCCCCCCCCCCCCCCCCTTCTTTCATGTCCATGTGTGACACAGAATTCTAGTGAATCCAGCTTTACACCAGTTACTGGAAGTCATTCCCTATCCATAAAGGGCTGTTCCCTACCTGTAGGCTCAAAAATGTGGAAAGAATGTAATTGCCTCTGTACTTCTAAAGAACCATTTTATCAGTTTGACTTCACTTGTGTAAACATACCTTCAATTAATATTGTGTAACCAGGCAGAGGACTCAGTTTGCCAGACCTCCTTTTCAAAAGGGGGCCTCTTTTATTGTGAAACAGGGATGCTTTGTACACCAAGACCCAAAACTCACACAACAGATCAGATATGTTAGACAGTGTTGTTGGTCTAATCTCTACACCATGGTGGAGATTACATCCAAGTAAAAGGGGCCACATCTTAAAATCTCAGTCCACCTCACATGCTGACATTCTTTTAGAGGAATGACAGCCTAAGTTGTGTTAACTTGCTTCTTCTACATACATGTAAGTGTTGGTTAAACACATTTATATAATACAGCATGATGTACAACAGCTGTGCAGGAGTCTAAGAATCTTTCCCAAAGCGAGCAGTGAAACAGCACAAAAAACTAAGATAGGACACAAGCACTTGAGAGTGAGTCTGTAAAGGTAGTACAGACAGTAAAGGTAATGTTGGTACAGACTGAATGAATAATGGTACAGATATTTATAGTAGTGTTTATGATAATAATCATAATGTTAATGATAATAATAACAATAATAATAATAGGACTAGTAACAATAATTGTAGCAGAGGGTGTCGAGCAGGAACACGGGGGCAGCAGGTGACTCGCAACCACAGATCCAGACTCCACAGCTCCAGAGCCAGAAACACCTGCAGGAAGTGATAGGAGGAGAGAGGAGAGGGACGAGAAAGCACAAGATTACGGGAAAGGGGAGAAGTTGAGTTAGTAACATGCATTAGTGGGATGAGGTTGCATACAGAGGAAAGAGAAAGAAGAGGAGAGAGGAGCTCAGTGCATCATGGGAAGTCCCCCGGCAGTCTAGGCCTATAGCAGCATAACTAAGGGATGATTCAGGACTCACCTGAGCCAGCCCTAACTACTGTATAACCTAAGCTTTATCAAAGAGGAAAGTCCTGAACCCAAACTGGAGCCTGGTTCCACAGGAGAGGAGCTTGATAGCTGAATGCTCTGGCTCCCATTCTACTTTTGGAGACTCTGGAAACCATATGCAGTAACCCTGCATTCTGGGAGCGCAGTGCTCTGGTTGGGTAGTAAGGTACTATGAGCTCTTTAAGATAAGATGGTACCTGACCATTAAGAGCTTCGTAGGTAAGAAGAATGATTTTAACTTCTATTCTGGATTTTACTGGAAGCCAATGCAGAGAAGCTAAAACAGGAGAAATATGATTCTTCTCCTGGTTCCTGTTAGAACACGTGCTGCAGCATTCTGGATCAGCTGAAGAGTCTTAATGGACTTTTTCAAGCAGCCTGATAATAAGGAATTGCAGTAATCTAGCCTAGAAGTAACAAATGCATGGACTAGTTTTTCTGCATAATTTTTAGACAGGATGTATCTGATTTTTTTCAATATTACGTAGGTGAGAAAAGGCGGTCCTTGAAATTTGCTTAATGTGAGAGTTATCCAAAAAAGGTTAATGTCAAGGGCAACTGGACTTGGTTGAAGATACTAGAAGACGTTTCTGGCTGGGTAACTGCTGAAATAGAAGGGCAGAGAAGTGTGTTAAGACTGTACTCTGCCTCCAGGTCTCAACTCTGGATTGTCATGGATTTGGTCCACTAATAAACTTGGCCAGATTTCTAGATATAAGAGCTGCTCCATCCCAAGAGGAATGTATGCTTTCTCTCCGAATCAGACCAGGTCTTCCCCAGAAAGTCTGCCAATGATCTACAAAGCCCACATCGTTTGCTGGACACCACCTCGACAACCAGTGGCGAAATGATGACATGCGGCTATACATGTCATCACTGGTCAGATTTGGCAGGGTCCAGAGAAAATTACGGTGTCCGACATTGTCTGACTCAACTTACTCATTAATCCGACTCAACCTCCGATTGGCGTATTTACATTTCTCCTTAGCCAGCAGTTTCAAATAAGACTCGATTTCGCTCGCTCTGGCCCCAGGGATGCACTTAACCATGACCGCTGTGCTAACTTCACGTTTCTCAAAATGGGGCTGCCAATAATCACAGTTGGTTTCTCAGCGGAAGTGTCGCTGTATGGGGAAAATCTGTTAGAAACGTGAACAGGTTGGTGGGCTTTGAATGCTTACAACTATTCCTGCTTCAGACAGTTACCAAGCCACCCTTTCCTAGCTGCTCAGGAGATGCCGGGGAAGGCTACCAGAGGCTAACTCAGGCCGTTTCACACCGACTACCAGGGACTGGCTGGGTAGACTGATCTACGAAGGTGCGGAGCCAGACTTATAAATCACTGAGCCTCGCCTCAAAACTACTGTAAGAGTAAGCGTTTAGCAGAGAGTTAGCCGCTGTAATGACAAATCTAACAAATTTAACTGGTATTTAGTGAGAGCAGCAAAACACGCCACCAACACACAAGCACCGGAAACAAAAATGAGTCAATACGCTTACTGCAGCACATTATTTCTCAGAAGCTCCCTGCCACCACTTAACTGCGGTAATGTTTGCTTTTACCTTCTGGGGAATCCCTCACCTAACACAGTCCAGATTTAGCTCCTCCTCGATTAGTGCATCCGAAAGTAGAACAACCATTCAGTATTTTGGCAATGCAAAAATAACAAACTCAAAGTAACAGTGTATCACTTGCTTATCGTCTTTTTTGCCCTCCAAGGGAGCGTTTTCGTTGGAATGTGACGTCATGTGAAAACTATGAAGAGTTGATAAAAAATGTCAGTGAAGGTTCTCAATCGTCAAGGTCATAGTTACAGTTTATTGGAATTTTTATATACAGTCTATGGTTCCCAGTCATCCAGGTCAGGTCTTTGAAGGTTCTCAATCGTCAAGGTCATAGTTACAGTTTATTGGAATTTTTATATACAGTCTATGGTTTCCAGTCATCCAGGTCAGGTCTTTGAAGGTTCTCAATTGTCCAGGTCATAGTTATAGTTGATAAGAATGCGTCTCCACATATGTCTGGGTCTGGAGAGACCACTCAGGAGGAGGAAATCAGGACAGCTGAGTCAGTGAACTCTTTTAAGCCCCCTCTGAAAACATAATTTTATAGAAGAGTCTTTCCTGATTTTAGTTGATCTTTTTTTCTTTTAACTGTATTTTAATTTCAGAACTTTCTTCTGCTTTTACTGTGTATCTTATTTTGTTTGCTGTGTTTTATTGCTCTTGTGAAAGCACTTTTAATATTGTTTTCAAAAGTGCTCTATATATAAAGATTATTATATTATTATTACTTATGATCAGCAAATAAACACATAATAATAAGTAAAAGTAATACATTTCATTTATATAGCACTTGTACTCAAAGGCACTTTACGTGGTAAAAAAGACAAAAACAAGATTAGCATAAATAACACAATAACTAGAGATATCTATTAAAAAGTGAAGCAAAACACCATAAAACCAAGACAGAAACAAAAAGAAAACAAGTTAAAAGAGACTTTAAAGAAATGGGTTTTGAGTGCGGTTTTGAAATTTGTAAGTGATGTGGAATGTCTGAGAGTGATGGAGGAGAGAGTTCCAGGAAGAGAGGGGCAGCAATGGAGAAGGCCCTGTCTCCACAAGTTTGGTGCTTGGGGCGGGTAACAGGGAAAGGAGGCTGACATCTGTAGTTCTGAGGTTGGGAGTATGATGTCATTGGAGGTTGGTGAGGAAAGAGGGTGCGAGGTTATAGAGGGCTTTGTAGGTGATTTTAAACGGGATTCTGTGTTGGATATGGAGCCAGTGGAGGTTTTGGAGAAAAGGAATGTGATGTGGTGGAAGACAGACAATGTCTTTGTCCCTCCCTTTCGTCTCACATAGGCCTACATCATTTCCGCTTGCAAAGACCAAATGCGTAGTAGTTTTTATCCCGAGTTAAATGAATTTACTGTTTATCAGACCACAAATGAGAAAAGCATTAGGTTGGAAAACCAATAAACTCCACTGCAGTGGTTTCTGGGTGCCGGGCCTCATTGATTACTGCACAAAACTAACTGTTGCTGTTAGCTACTTAGCTACTTAGCTAGTGGTCAGATTTAAAGTTTTATTAGCTTTATTAAGTTAAAGGGACAGTGTGGATTACAACATATAGCAAGTTGCAAGATTTTACCACAGTCTGTTGAATTCATATTCCAAACAAATAGGGGGAAGCATATCACCAGAGTAACCACTAACTGCTGCTAACTACTGCTGCTGTTGCTAGTTGGCCTTGCAGCTAGTAGCAGTCCCATAATGGTGCATTCCAGTTGTACTAGGAAGTCGGAATTTCTGAGTGTCCAGTAGGAAATTTCAACTGGAACATCCCCTTAAGTTGGATTTCTGACTCAGAGAGTCGGGAGAACCTCACCAACCTCAACCTCAAAATCCAAGAATACTGCTTCGAGCATCAACAGAGTGAAAGCTGTAAAATAATATACTGTTTATTGCACTTCTGTTTTGATTTGTGTCTCAATAAATCAGTCATACACACAGTACTGTTCAACTTATAACTGTGGACATGTTGCTACAGTGTTTGTATGTGCACAATACCACGTCAAGCGGAATGCGATCAACTCAGGTGTGATTTCATTTCCAGCCCTGACATCCAACTTCTGAGGTAAATGAAACACGCCATTAGCTGACTCTGCCTAGACTGGGAGCTCGGAGAACTGGGGGAATGTTGGTGTTTACACATCTAGCACAAGAGCTTTGGGTTTCCAGAAGGAGGAGGTTTTCAGGACCAGGGCGAAGGGACCCAGCGGGGAATGTTGACGGGGAGTGGTTTGGGAATTGGCAACAGCAGCAGGCCCCAGGTACTCCAAGTTCATCATCCGAACAACTTCGAAAATCCATTTAGCAA